CCTATTAGTGACCGATAAAATTTAATAAGTTTTGAGTAATAAGCTCTTATTATCATATAGAATACCCAGATAATCACTAAATTTAATTAAATCTGTACACATTTGTTATAAACATAAAACTCTTCTACTACTGTACAAATAACTTAAACATGTTTTAAAACTCAAATTAATTCTATAATTGACATTTTTTACAAAAAATTATTTTAATAAATATAAAACTTAAAATATACATGATTTGTTAAGTTGCGAGATTATGAAGGCAAAGCATTAAGATAAATGATTGCACTTAATATTTAAGTGCTAATTTATATGTGTTTATTGAAATAATAAAGTTGTCTTATCAGGGATGGAATAGATAGGGTAGAAAATCCATTGCCAACTGTTTGCCTGACTCAACCCAACTCATCGCTTGATCAGCATCCACGTAGGCAAACAACATACCAGGGTGAAATTTATTATAGCCCGAGCCTCGGCACGAAAACATGCCATCTAAATTATTAGCATGCACAAAGTACAGTACACCAGACAATTGGCGCAGGTTAGTTAGACCAGGCTCTTTGTTGCACTGATAGAAGTCCGAGTTATTGAAATACCTGATCCCATAATAGACATGACCGGCCAGTGGGCCGGCAGTGATATTTGATTTGTCAGTTTCTATTAGGTATCCTATTTAAAAATGAATTGATCATATTAATTAAATTTTATTTTAATACCACAAAAGTAACTAGCCTATTTTTACCATTGTTTATAGTAGCAGTGGTCACGACATTAATCGTTTGATTGACAATTTGATTATTTTTGTAGTGTATTTGATAGGTTAGTGTTCGGTTTCGGGGAGCGGTCTGTATAATGGTATCGCACGTACGGTTCCCGTATGTCTGGCCACTCCGCACCACATTCAACACCTCAGGCTTGTGCTGTATGTTTGTGCAATTGTCATAGATCTCAATGGTATTCTCAACCAGCTCTATGTAATTTTGTTAGTTTATGCAATAATTTAATAGTTATTTTGTTTAATTTGTAATTTATTTTTATTACAAACCTCTGCCATGAGTTGTGTGTATGAAATCTTGAAACAAGATTATATAAATATTATTTTAATTGCGAGAATAATTATTACTTACAAATTATATATGAGGTGCAAATTAAATAATATAAGTTCATCATTAAATTATTGACTAATTTAACGTAACAAAAATACTTTATAATAATGAAACAATTGTGTAATCAATTGATATTTAACTATATAACTATTTAAGAGTAAAAATATGTTTTTAATAATATTTGTAATTGTATTTTTTCTAATAAAAATTGTCTATTGTTTATGAAAACAATAACAATCACATAAAACCTGCGGCAAGTTAAAAATATAAACCATGTTTATTCTTAAGTATGATGTTTATTTATAAAATATTTTAATTAAATTATTTCAAAACCCATATGTTATTGAAAAATGTAAAACAATCCAACAATTATTTAAATATTTTTCATAATTAAATAAATCCCAACAAATAATAACTATGGAAGTTTATTTGTACTTTATAACATTTTAATAAATTTTTGTTTATTTTAGCTAATTGTTGATACAGATAAACATTTTACCAAAAAATAGGTTTGAACGCGATGTCATGAATTAATTATAATTCGAGAAATATTTAAAGAATCCCATAGACTTAACATTATTTATGTTAAAGTATAGCCTAACAAGACTGGACTGTAAGACTGGACTGTAAGACTGGACTGTAAGACTGGACTGGAATCCAATGTTAAATCCCATAGAGAGAGAGAGAGAATTTATATAACTTTAAGTATTTAATGTGACATGTAACATTGATAGTAAACATAACTGTTGATAATTATGTTTGCTGAAAATAAGCTAAACTTCTATTACCAGGGTCACTTAAATTTTAATGAACACCTGTATGTTTAATAATTTTACTGATATTTTACTCTGTATCTAAACATTTATCTACGATATTCACAGGACTTTATATATAAATTATACATAAAGTCCTGTAAATTAATAAATGTCTAGATAAGAATCAAGGTGGAATGACTGTATTCAATGTACATGTATCAAATGTTCAGACATTGTAAAAACATTGTAAATAAAACATAAAACAACATTGTTGTGAGTATAAATACCTTAATCGCAAATAGACTTTATTGTGATTACTTTATTCACTATAATTTTAAAATTATTGTACCAAGTGTGAATTTATTTTACAGTAAAATTTTAACTATATTGAAAATATGGATCAAATCGCACCAGAAGTCTACGGGTCACTGAATTACGCGCCCAAGAAGTTTGCCGCTCAGTCTCTAATCATACTCGGCAGTCAAAATAGGTAACACTACTGTAATATTAACATGATCATAATATGACATGATTATTATTGTAATAATATAATGTTTATTTTAAAACTGCCATGTAACATGTTATTACTGTACCCGTGTTAATACGCCCATTATTAAGTTGTATTACTAACCATCACGCGCAAAAAAACTATTTATGTAATTTACAATAACAATAACATTTAAATTGATAAATATTTTTACCATGTACAAAATGTTTATTTAAATAACAGATTATTTGACACAATTGTGGACATCGGGTGCGGCGATGGGGGCGTCACTAAAGAGTTGGCCCAAAAACTACGGCACAGACAGCTGGTGGCCGTAGACGTTGACCCAGCGATGACGGCTTACGCGCAACAGACAAACCCCGAGGAGTCCATCCAGTATAAGACCCAAGACGTGTCGGCGGCCTGGGATGAGCTGAGCGAAGACATACGGGCACTGGAGGGTAAAGTTACCCTTATTTTTTCCAACTTTGTCCTGCATTACATCCGAGACAAGAGCCGATTAGTGGCCAATTTTAGCCGATTGTTAACGACTGCGGGGGCGGGCGGTTGTATACACGCCAATATTTTTATACCGGCCGATTTGAACAGAAAACTCCCCGTTAGTGAGAGGGCCGGACACTGGACAGAGGCCACGGCCAACGATCGGCAGATCCAGGCCTGGCGTCAGGCGCTCAGCGATAGCGGCCTGAGGGTCGACAAGTTTGAGATTATTGACGACGTCTGGCGTATGAGCCGTAAGGAAATGATCGGTCAGTTGTTTTTCAAATCAGACTATTTATTTATTTTTGTTGTAAATTATGGTAATCATTTACTAATTGTTTTGCTATAATAAGTATACTTTGTATTTAATACGCTTGTATTGCCGGTGCTGTAGACTTTCTACCGGTGCTGATACACGACTTCAGACCATTCTTCGAGAGCGGCGACCGGTTTGAGGCAGAGGTTAAGGTTTTGGCGAACACTGTGTTTGAGGCCTACTGTAGTCCCCGCGACGATGAGCCCAACCCTAACGCCTGGACTCAGTTCACGGCCGACGAGTCGCCCGCAGCCGAAGCGGGCATTCAGTTAAATATCTTAAGACTCGTTGCCATTAAGAAAAGTTAATTACAAATTAATTAATAAAATTTTTAACATTATATTTTATTATATAAATAATAAATGAGCAACAAGAATTGAATACAGTTTTAATTAAATATTAAAATATATTATTTTTATAAATTGATTGATTAAAAAATTATTTATATTTAAAATGGGATAAAAGTTAACTATTAAATACACAGACAATTACATAGTGCCAAATGCTATGCACGTTAAAGCATAGAAATTCATGACATTGCGTGATAAGAATCGTTGGAAACGACCTTGTATTCACTTACTGTAAATAACATGTGCAGTATTATACATGTTGGTTGCATTATGGTGATTCCTAACAACATGAGTACATTTACAATACGTAAACAAAATCAATAATAAATTGTTTACGATTTCGTCAGAAAATGTGATACAACAGCAAAAACACAACAAAATTAATGTTCAATTAAAACAACAAATTATCGCAACTTTTTAATTAATAATCATTACTTAAAATGAGTGCCAATAATAGCATCGCTATAAACACCGGTGTTGTGTCCACTACTACCAAACTATTACCACGGGTACAGTACGAGCACATGGTTGCCGGTGTGGCCGGTGGTGTGGCGCCTACCCTAATACTACACCCATTTGATTTGGTCAAGATCCGTTTGGCTGTCAACGATGGCCAGTTGGCCGTACGGCCGCGTTATGACGGTTTGGTGAACACTGTGGCCACAATTGTCCGTCAGGAGGGTGTGACCGGTCTCTATCGGGGCGTTACGCCTAACTGCGTGGGCGCCGGCGCCGCGTGGGGACTGTATTTCCTGTTTTACAACACTATTAAATCTCATATGACAGCCGCCCGGGGCTCGGATGCCAGTGGCGGGGGTCTGGGCGCCGGTCGACACATGTTGGCCGCGGCGATGGCCGGCTGTGTCACCACAACTCTCACAAACCCTATATGGGTGGTCAAAACTCAGATGTGCCTACAGTACGGCACTGTCACACCGGCCGGCTTACCAACAGCTCAGCCCTCCAACGGTATGCTAAACGTGTTGACCAATATATACCGCCGGGAAGGGGTAGTGGGCCTATACCGGGGTTACTTACCGGGCATATTAAACGTAAGTCACGGCGCCCTACAGTTCATGGCCTACGAGGAGCTGAAGAGGTTCTACACCGAGTACTACGAACTGAGTGCTAATGAAAAACTGGATACCGGAGCCTACCTGTGCTGCGCGGCTTTGAGCAAACTGTTTGCTGTGACCATAACATACCCGCAACAGCTATTGAGGGCCCGACTACAAGACCAACATTCCTCGTATAAGGGCTTACTCGACGTGATCAAAAGGACCTGGCGCTATGAGGGCGTCCGCGGCTACTATAAGGGACTGTTGCCGAACCTGATCAAAGTGACGCCCGCCTGTGCCCTTACGTTTGTCGTATACGAGCATTCAATCAACTTTTTGCTTAATAAATAATACAATTATAATTAGTTTTTTAAAATTAATTAATTAATTGGCAATTAATAATTGCTACGAACCGGGCGTTTGTAGAAATATTCTGGTCACTCCACCTCATACTCGATGTGATTTTGAATTGAAATAAATAGTCAATTAGTTTAATTTTATTTATACTATTTATATAAATTATACTGTATAATTAAAAATTTATTAAAGTGTATAATGTTAGTTTTTGTTTAAAATGAACGAATTTTTAAATACATTATAAAATTAAATGTTGCTTTTAATTAAAAGACTTTATAAAAATGTTAAAATAAATTTAATAATACTTTTGAAGTGATCATTTTGTATATTTTAAATAATTCTAAATAAGATATCTTAATATAAAATACATGTAAAGAATAAGTCGTTTTATTCTTAACTTTTAATTAATTTTATTTTATTTCACAATTTATAAAGAAAGTTTACAACTTATTTAAAAAGTTATAATTTGTTTAATTCACACAAATAGTGTGAAAGTCATATTTGACTACATTTTGAAGACTGCATGTATGGGTTGTATTGAGTGGACCTTAAATAGGGTGACAATTGGGTCACTCGATGTCCAGTTTATTCTGGGATTGAGTTTACAGTAGGAATGTATTTGTCGGCAGAGTTTGTGTGTGAATATGGGTTACAATAAGTAATTTATAACTTAAAATTAAAGTGAATTGTTTCACAAATAGATGAAATAAATGTTGAAATATAAATTGTTAATTAAATTCTAGGTATTATTTCATTTTATCTTTACATACAGTACTAAAGCATTGACTTTTAGGTGACAAAAACCTGTCTTAAAGTCACTATAAAAGTTACTTAAAAATGGCTAAAAAGTTGCTAAAAAGGTGCTAAAAAGGTGATAAAAAGTTAAGAAAAAGTTATATATTTTGCATCAAAATAATACATTCAAAGGTCAATAACATTCGTTTTTGAATTAAATTGTATTTTTAGAGGTTTTCGGTTTCGAAACTCATTCGTCTACCGTTTAACAACTGTTTATGAGTCGAAAAACGTTTAATGAAATGCCGATTATGACTAAAAGCTATTATTTAAAAAAATTAATATCACATTACACCTGTTTTCAATTTTGACTTATTGAATATTTTGTGATTTATCAATAAATGGTATATAAAATTTGCAAAATAGTCGAAAAGTTACTTAAAAGTTGCTAAAGGTGCTAACGTCCCAAAAGGTGCTAAAAAGGTGAAATAAAAATCTTCCAAAATACTCATAAGGTGGTATATGGTATGCCCCCAAACTTTCAGGAGGTTCTCCGCTTTCGGTACAAAAAGTTATTTAACTTAAAATCAATGCTTTATACAGTACCGTACTAACAATTAAATAAAAAGCTATACAGTAGTATGTAAATTACGTGTACTGTATCATCTTACTGTGTTAAGTATATTGAGCATGTTTAATACCGGATACCCCCACTACTCTCCCCTTAATTAATATCTCAAATAATTAATTTAACAGTTGATAACACTATCTGTTATTAATCCTAGTATAAGATTTTACCCCCTATTAGACTGTCTGCCCCCACATTATATAACACACGTTTCACAACATAGACATAATGTGTTTATAGACAGTTACATGTAAAATGTATGATGGTAAAAATAATATATTTTGCACTTAATGGACCGGGTTCAAAATTAGATATTAGACGGGTGGGTGTCTTACCCAGCAATTGCCACTACAGTAAACTGCTTACTATCTAATAACAATCAATCTATTGGTCATAAAACATGGTCACTTTTCATAACACAGTTAATATTGCAATTAAAACTTGAGGATCATGTTTACAGATTATTTAAGTAGCGTAGTACTTAAAAACCTTGATCAGATATCGCACATATACAAAGCCCATCCGTTCATTTATCTATATGGGTGGGGGTGACAGATATATTAAGCAATTTCCATTAATAAGCAACAGTATTTAAAGCTGGTTTTATCACATTTGGCATTCAGTGTTAAAAAATACCTGCAAAAAACTTGTGCTAAAAATAATTTAACATACCCGCAACAGCTATTGAGGGCCCGACTACAGGACCAACATTCCTCGTATAAGGGCTTACTCGACGTGATCAAAAGGACCTGGCGCTATGAGGGCGTCCGGGGCTACTATAAGGGACTGTTGCCCAACCTGATCAAAGTGACGCCCGCCTGTGCCCTTACGTTTGTTGTATACGAGCATTCAATCAACTTTTTGCTTAATAAATAATACAATTATAATTAGTTTTTTAAATTAATTAATTAATTGGCAATTAATAATTGCTACGAACCGGGCGTTTGTAGTAATATTCTGGTCACTCCACCTCATACTCGATGTGATTTTGAATTGAAATAAATAGTCAATTAGTTTAATTTTATTTATATAATTAAAAATTTATTAAAGTGTATAATGTTAGTTTTTGTTTAAAATGAACACATTTTTAAATACATTATAAAATTAAATGTTACTTTTAATTAAAAGACTTTATAAAAATGTTAAAATAAGTTTAATAATTATTGAAATAAATTTAATAATATTTTTAAAGTGGTCATTTTGTATATTTTAAATAATTCTAAATAAGATATATTAATATAAAACTACATTACTAACAATTAAATAAAAAGCTATACAGTAGTATGTAAATTACGTGTACTGTATCATCTTACTGTGTTAAGTATATTGAGCATGTTTAATACCGGATACCCCAACTACTCTCCCCTTAATTAATATCTCAAATAATTAATTTAATAGTTGATAACACTATCTGTTATTAATCCTAGTATAAGATTTTATCCCCTATTAGACTGTCTGCCCCCACATTATATAACACACTTTTTACAACATAGACGTTATGTGTTTTTGACAGTTACATGTATGTATGATGTTAAAAACGATATATTTTGCACTTAATGGACCGGGTTCAAAATTAGATATTAGGCGGGTGGGTGTCTTACACAGCAATTGCCACTACAGTAAACTACTTACTATCTAATAACAATCAATCTATTGGTCACAAAACATGGTCACTTTTGATAACACAGTTAATATTGCAATTAAAACTTGAGGATCATGTTTACAGATTATTTAAGTAGCGTAGTACTTAAAAACCTTGATCAGATATCGCACATATACAAAGCCCATCCGTTCATTTATCTATGGGTGGGGGTGACAGATATATTAAGCAATTTCCATTAATAAGCAACAGTATTTAAAGCTGGTTTTATCACATTTGGCATTCAGTGTTAAAAAATACCTGCAAAAAACTTGTGCTAAAAATAATTGAGTTTCATTTTATACCAAATTTTTACATTGAGTTCTGAGTTAAACACATAACTGTCAGACGTTAGACATGGAGTTAAAGCCAGAAATCTATCAGACATTGAATTATTTGCCCAAAGAATTCGCGTTGAAATCATTTGACAGAATTGCAAATGAAAATAAGTGAGTATTGACTTTATATACACCAATAACACTTGGTATTATCTTTATCATAGATCTCTCTCTCTCTCTCTCTCTCTCTCTCTCTCTC